GGAAAGCATGGAAAGGAAAAATAATTTAAACTAAAACGGATTTCTGCTGACGAGAGGGTGCGGAAATCCGAAGGCCAAGAAAACCCCTCTTCCTACAAGTTAAATACAGTAATGGTGAAAAATTTGACTCTTCCGAAGATTGAAGTCTTGGTGAATAATATCCCAGCCACCGCAGTCCTGGATACCGGCGCGCAGTGTTCCTGTGTGGCAGAAGATGTTTTTAGGAAGTATTTTCGTAAATATCGCATATATAATTCGGATAATACGACAGTGTTAGCTGCGCAAGGAGAAAGATGTAAGTGCATAGGTAAATTACCACTATACATCCGTATCAAGGACGAACAAGTAAAGGTGATGTTTTTTTATAGTAAAGAATCTGCAAGCACATATAATCTTAGGAATAGATTTTCTTTCAGACGCACAAGCAACACTGGATTTTAATGAAGCGTCCCTTAAGCTGACAATGAAACCAGTTCGTGCAGAAAAGGCTGAACCGCCAATGTTAAAACTTGACCACCTGCCTAATGACGAGCAAGGAAGAATCCGACAAGTGGTAATTGAATTTGCTTCGTTATTTAGTGATATTCCAGGATTTACTCAGGTTACTAACCATAGTATTGACACCGGAGATTCAATGCCAGTTCGTCAAAAACCATACCGGTATGATAAGAATAAGGAAAAAATTATAGAATGGCATATTACCGATATGCTACGTAAAAAGATCATAACGCCCATCTCAAGTAGTTATGCTAGCCCGGTTTTTTTATGTAAGAAAATTAATGACTATCCTTTGATGCATCCAAAAGGTGGAGTTTCGCGATTGATTACTGTAAATTAAACTCCATAACTAAATATCCGGTATATCCGTTACCGATCATTGAAGAAATTCTAAGGAACATAAAATCAACCAAATTTATGACGACTTTAGACTTAACGACTGGTTATTTTCAAATAGGGGTTAGGCCAGAAGACGTGCCTAAGACTGCTTTTATAACCAAGTCTGGCACTTATGCATTTTTGCGTATGCCGTTTGGCCTTTCAGGGGCCCCGGCAACATTTCAGCGATGCATGGACATTGTGTTAAGACCTGTTCTTGGAAAGTCCACATTTATCTATTTAGACGATATCATTATTACTAGTGATAATCTCGACCAACATGTACAGGATTTAAGACAGGTGTTTTCTTTATTAAATGAGGCCGGTCTAAAAGTTAATGTCGAAAAGTGCAAATTTGCAGCCCCTGAATTAAAATATTTAGGTTACAAGATATCTCAGAAAGGAATAGAGACAGATGAATCAAAAATAATCGCTGTACAAAAGTATCCGACTCCAAATACGGCAAAGAAGCTCTCTTCTTTTCTAGGACATTTTCATATTATAGGTCCTTTATAAAAGATTTTGCAGCTATCGCTGAGCCATTGTTAAATTAAAAAGGAAAAGGCAAGATTCTCGTGGACGGCCGAAACCAATAGTGCTTTCGAAAAATTAAAACAAGCATTAACGCAAGCCCCTGTGTTGAAATTTCCTGAAAAGGATGAGAATTTAGAAATTTCAGCGGATGCTTCGGATTATGCGGTAGGAGCGGTACTTTCGCAAAATCAGCAGCCCGTGGCATTTTTTAGCCGAACTTTAAATCAACACAAAGAAACTATTCCCGACCGAGAGAGAGGCACTTGCAGTTCTGTTAGCAGTGCAAAAGTTCCGAGTCTATTTTGGAAAGGCGCCAATAACAGTGTACTCTGATCATGCGGCGGTAACTAGATTGTACTCAGGGAAAAAATTTATCCCCAAGGTTAATAAGATGGGCACTCAAGCTGCAAGAATATAATCTGGTAATCAAGCATACCCCCGGAAAGGAAAATATCGTAGCAGATGCCCTATCAAGAATTAAAATAGATAAACAAGGTAATACCGTAAAGGTGGCAATGCTCACAGCATGTACAATAAATTCCCGAGAAACTGTAATAACCGAACTGGGTAAGGATCCTGAGTTTGGAAGCATTTATGAGTATTTGAAGGATCCTGAAAATTTTAGCCACCAAGATATTGTGGCGATAAGAAATAGGGCGGCCCATTACGAACTAATAGATGGTCTATTATTCTATACAAAAACTACGAATTCCAACAACGAATTTCGACCTGTTATACCAGCTAGTCTTAGATTAAATATCCTGCATGAGCTCCATGACAGCCCTTTAGCTTCTCATGCTGGTATTCGAAAAACTATCCAACGCGTACGCGAGGCAGTCTACTTTACTGAACTGCAAAAGTTAACAAGGGCCTATGTCCAGTCCTGCCCAACATGTCAAGCAGTTAATTATATTAATTTCCGCCTGGCTGGGTTTCTAAATAGTATTAAATCCGAATTTCCAAATGAAATAATTGGCATCGATTTATTAGGCCCTTTCCTAAAGAGTCAGTTAAATAAAAGTCGCTATCTCCTTGTTATGGTTGATCATTTTAGTAAATGGACCCAAATTGTTCCCTTAAAACGAGTTACTGATTCTATTTTAAATAAATATATTTTAAAATACGTGGCGCCCCTAAAAGTTATATCGGATAATGGTCCTCAATTTGTAAGTAATATATTTGAAGACATGTGCCAAAAACTGGGCATACATCATTTAAAAATGGTCCCGTATCGGCCGCAATCAAATATAGCGGAACGGGTCAATAGAAATATAGTGAAAATTATCCGTAGTTATGTTAAAAATTTTCATAAAAGCTGGGATAACTATGTCAATGAATTTGCTTTCGCCCTTAGGACCGCATAACATGATACAACGGGAAAAACTCCTGCTGAGTAATTTCTAGGCAGAAAGATTATAACGCCGTTAGATAAATTATTTTATGTGCAACAAAGAGCGCCAGAATTTAAAATGGGTGATATAGAAAAACTAATTAAGGAAGCAAAGAAGAATACTGAAGTAGCACAGAGAAAACAAAAATTATATTACGACTTGAAACGACGGGGAGTAACTTATAAAGTAGGGGATGAAGTTTTAAAAATTAAGCATTCACTTTCTTCAGCACCAGAAGATAAGACTGCCAAATTTTTTCCACGATTTGAAGGAACCAGATTTGAATAAGAGCTCCTGTTTGGATGAAGTACAGATGAAAAAAAAATTGTGTATCCTGGGAGCTGCTATTGTAAAAACAAATTTCTTTCTTTTAAATTTCTAGTTTCTAGCGAAAAATATTTGTAAAAGATTGGCCTCGCGTTAGATTCTAGAGCTAAAAGTTTTCAACAAGGTCGTTTTAGACCTCAGTTTCAAACTAATTAACTCTGGCGGGAAGTATGTAAGGATTTAAGTTTTACTAACGTTTATTTTATTTAAATCTTTACTATCACTTCTTTTTTCTACTTCCGGCCAGAATTATAAGCGTTAAGGTTTTTATGCAAAGTTTGTCTGGCGAACGCCAAGTATTTAAGTTGTTGGCTTTTTTTGCCAAGCGAGATAGAGGAAGCAGTGAGTCGAAGCAGGCCGCTTACCTTAGAATTTTACGCAGTTGCTGTTTGCCTTCCAGGCCAGAGGTTTTAATCCTCTTGATAAATTTTTTAAACGTATTGTAGTGTCCACAGTTCTCTGTACTACATACGCTTCCTGTTAATATAAGGCCAATCTTCCACGTTTATTATTTTAAAGTTAATTAGAGTTTAGTTCTATTTTATATTTTACGTTAGACCCCAAGTAGCGGGTCTGTGTATTCCGAAGTACGGAAGTTATTGTAAATAGAGAAAATAAAGGGTTTTGTATACCCTTCTTGTGTATCCTGTCTACTTCCCACAATTAGTGAACATAGCTTTAGTAAGCTCTCTGTTCCGAGTCAGGTCCTTGCATGTTCCCGAAGAAGGTTAGAAGGAACATTGAACCTGATAAAGGTAACACACAAAACGTTAATAAAGCCCCTTTGGACGTAATTTAAAATTTGAAACCTTTCAGAACTTTTTAAAAGTATGAGCGATGACATTTTTTAAAACTATTTTCAAAGCGGTCGGTGCAATATTTCAACAAATAAAGGGGGGGGAAGAAAACGAGAGAAAGAAAATAAAAGAAAAACCGCTTATAAGAAAGTAGATATATATATATATATATATATATACTTTGGAAATTATAAGTAAACGTTTTTATTCTGCTTTCTGTAAAACATCGCTAGACTGCGCCAAATTGGTTTCGCTAATACGTTGTTGTTGTTGCTACTTGTATCACTTCTCTAACAGCAGCATCAGAACAAGCCCACGAATTCATCATGGCAAAGAGTGCAAGAATGGGACTGCCGTTTGCAAGAGCCTTGAGCACCATACAGGAGACAGTACGATTTTACTCCGTTCCGACAGCAAATTTGATGGGGAATACCTCTGGGGGGGACGAATTCGAGGGTCTCCCACATCTCTTTTCCTACCACCAAGTCTCGAGAGAACTTTCGGCTCACCGTATATTTATAATACCATCATGCCGCACAAACACTACGCATTTACAAACATCCATGCCTTCTCCGGGATCGGAAACCGGGCCCTTCGATATGGCAGTCAAATTCGATAAAAACTATCCCGCCTGGGCGGCTCGCTAATACGTAAGTATCTAACTTTGATAACTCCTATGAGAATGCTTTTTAATTACAAGCATTTGTTATTTTTTTTTCCTACGTAACGCAAATCTTCAAAATAGAATTAAAAATAAATTTGCTCCAAGTACTTTGAATGGTCGTTGTAATTGTATGGGTGTTGTAACCAACACTCTCAAAATGATCTTTTTTTCAGTTTATGCCATTAAAAATTTGAAAAAGAAATTCATTTCTTAAAATAATATTTTCAAATAATGTTAGTAAAATTTCAAACAAATAAATACATTTCTACTTGAAAATATATGAATAGTTATTTTTTTTTTCATACACATTAGAACACGAAATGCTCTAGAAGTGTTACTTATAAGATCATGACATTGGTAATTCTAAATAAGATAATACAGATACGAAGAGAGGAAATTAAAATAATTTACCTATACTGTTTTGTCTTTCATCATAAAAGGCTTGTATAACTGTTGTCCTTGAGTGCTTGTTCCACCTGGGAAAAAATGCGTACAGATGTGAAATAAAATATGCGAAAAGTTCCAGTTATAGTTTCAGAATATTTTTTATTTCATTTATAATACCAGTTCAGTCTATGTGTAGTGCGTATTCCACAAAATTCCTCATTACATTGTATGATTCTAGCTAAATTACTTCGTTGGCTAAATCTTTACTTGAACTGCGAGGCGACTATTCGTTAAGTTCAAACTGTATCAATAACAAAGCGGTGAAAAGACACTTCCATTCAAGTCAAGATAGGATTTACAGTCCGCACAAAAAGCAAACCAATACATTTGGCTATAACTCAAAACAGAACTAAAATTAAAACTTAGTTAAATAATCAGCCGAAGCTGCACAGAGATAATTAAACAGACTCTTGGCCCTTCCACCTACGTAAACAAGGTTTTTTTAATATTTTGTTAGTTACTTTTATTTATTAAATATCGTGTTCTTCGCACTTAAACCATAAAATTCAATAAAAGAGCAATTTCGCAAAATAATTTTAAACTGCGCATATCTTTCGAATTTTCGATACACAGTCTCACACGTTGGAGATAATATTGTTTTCTCTGTGCAAAGTGTTGTCCATTGCTCGCTTTTGAAATCCTTGAGTTTGTTAATCGAAAAATTCGTGTTAAAGTTTTACAAAATACAGAAATCGATAATAAAACAAATTTACCAAATTTCAAATTTGGGCTTCCATATGCTCACATTCGCAGTATTTTCAGTTACGTCAGGATTACGTCATTCAATATTTGATGGCTCTAAGTACCGTTGTTTTATAACAATGCGTGAAACATGCATACATTTATGCATATTCTTCATTATTTAATTTCTTCAAATATAATGCGGGGCGATAATATTTGGTTGCAAAACTTTGAAACGTGAAACGGACATTCAGAGCGAATCGACGCAAAATCGCAAAACGAAAACAATAGTTCTTCAGGGACAAAACCCCTTTGGACTAACAATTAAGTAAATTAAATAAATCATACCAACACCAATATGTTTTAAATAATCATATTTTTTTTAATAAAATGAGATAAATTAGAATTACCGCATTTTATGAGAAAATTAATTACGTCAGTAAATAGATAAAGATAAATAGTAATTGGTGATGGTTAGAACTGTCAAATCATATAAGATAAATAAACCGTTTTCAAGAAACATTTTATAAGAAATAATAGTAATAAATTTAGGATAGCAAGGAAATCAAATCGTTTTAGATTTTAAAATTCTTCACTTTTAAAAATTTAACTTATAGCAAAATGTTAGTAAAATTTTGATACAAAAGTATAAAAGTAGTTTAAATACAAAAATTTTTAATCAAGCAAAGTTAATCATTCATAATTGTTAAAATATTGCATACCTTCCTTTCATGTTGGGTTTCCGAAGGAGAGAAAATGAATAATCTGTTGACCACTTGAATATTTTCCTCCTGATATCGAAATAGCTAGTGTTATCAATATTCAGCTACAAATAAATTGACTTACATGTTAAAATAAAATCATTAATTTTTTAAGGAATAGTTTTTGTACAGTGTGTTAACTAATATTCAAGTACTTACGTTCTTATACAGGTCAGAAATATAAGAAGCATTTAGAAGCTCTTTCGCATATCCTATGTGCGAAGTTATGGATTTAACCTAAATAATGTAAATAAACGAAGTGCAATTAGAATTTTGAAACGTATTTTCACTTTTATAAATTCATTAAAAGGCTAAAACATGCTGAATCCAAAATTTAGAAATATCGGACAAACTAAGCAAGTTGGTAGATACATGGTAAGAGACTTATTTGATATCTACATTATTTAAGGAGTGTAAAGAAATGCATAATTATGATATAATGTTGAAGTGGACAAAGGAACTGTTTAAATTTAAAGCCATTAACAGTGGCTCATATTACCATAATTTGCTAAGATTTACCCTTAAGCTTATATGACAACAAAGTGTACAAAAAATTCATTTTAATTCCTAAAGATTCAGTCATAATTTGTAAGTTACTCTGGGGGGATAAAATGTTGTGTGTTTTACTGTAATATTTGTACGTTAACAAAATTATCGCTCATGATTCCGCTAATATATTTACAGGATAATTCTGTATATGGGTTACAATCTCTCAAGAGAGATATAGTACACCTGGACGATGCAAAAACACATAGCAATGCATGGTCAGAAACGCTTTCTTGGCACGTTAGTGACAACGCAAAACACAAGAACGGAAGGACACGAACAAGATGAGAATAATGTCTATTGTGCGGCGAAAACTAAGAATTAAGAACAAAAACAGACGATCATCATCAAAGAAGGCGTTCGAAATTATGACACGGGCAGTAATACAGGAACCATGAGTCATGCATCTTCCATGCGTGATGCAGATCTTCCATACAACGGAGATGTGAGACCTGCATCACAGTCCGGGATCGTAATTTCGAACACCTTCATTAATGACGATTTTTTCTATCTTTAGACCAAAGGGCAATTTGCTCTGAAGAACTATTCATTTCGTTTTCGCATTTTGCGTTACTTATCTATAAATGTCCAATTCACTTTTCAAATTGTTCCACGAAATATTATCGCCCTGTATTTAAAGAAATTAAATAATGAAGTATCTGTTCTGTATGAATGTATGCATGTTTCTTGCTTGTGATAAAACAAAGATAAATGGAGCCATCAAAATTTGAATAACGTAATCTTCCATAGAATATGGGCATGTGGATGCCTTAATTTGAAGTTGAAATTAGTTTCATTATCGATTTCATATTTTGAAACACAACAAAGAATTTTTGATTAACAAACTAAACGATTTCAAAACTAGCAGTGGCAAGACTGAAGGGGAAAAATACTTTTATAAAATCCCCAGCGCGCGAGACACTCTGTCGGAAATTCTAACGATAGGCTCATTTTTAAATTGCGATATTGCTGTTGGATTGAATTTTATGGTTTGACTACGTAGGACATGATATTTAATAAATAAATGTAACACACAAGACGTTAAAAAAAACGGCCCTTTCGACGTAATGTAAAATCTGAAGCCTTTCAGATTTTTATATTTATTTATTGGTTCCTGCTGTACTAAGCATAATAAAACATTTTTCTCTCACTGTTCTTGTCCTTTCTTTTTTGTGTTTTGTATCATCAATACTGCCCCAAGAAAGCGTTTCTGCCCATGTATTGCTATGTGATTTTCCATCGTCTAGATGTATTGTATCCCTCCTGAAAGTTTGTAATCGATTTTCCAAAACATCTTGTATATCTCTGTCTATCTATACAGATGTGGAGTCTGCTTCTGACAAAACATGACTCACATCTCTCTGCTACATGGCGCTCCGTGGCGGCTCATACTTCTCTATTTTGATGTGTGAGAGATGATCCTGACGTAAAGTTGAAAAAAGAGTAATTTGGACTAGATGTAAGAAGCTAACTATCCCTATTTAGCTGCTATAATTTCTAAGAAGTAATAAACTATGACGTTTTGTCATCGTTCTGTACTTAATTATCAGTATTAATCAATTATTTATTATCAGTATTGCTCAATTAGTAATATTAAAAAAAGGACGCAGAACCAAAAAAGCAAAACGAAATTTTATAATAAATATATTATAATAATATAATATATCATAACATATTATAATAATATATAATCATAATATATTATAAATAAACAAAACGAAATTTTTTAGAGCAGTGCAATATTTATGAGATGAAAAATATCCTTCTCATTTATCTTCTAAAAATAATTTACATCGAAATTCTGCTTTTCAGAATATCAGTATTAATCATGCTGATATCAAGAGTAACATTTCGAAGTTCAATGTATAAGCAGGCCAGACAGTGAGTGGTTAGAGAAGCCTCAATGCGATACCGAAGGACTCAGGTTCGAATCCCGGAGAAGGCATGGATGTAATTTGCTGTCCCTTCAATAGAAGGCAAATGTGACTCACCTATTAGGTGCTTCCTTAATAAACAGACCACCAAATCTGGCCTTAGGAGTGGCTGATGTCCGCTTTTGGAAACAAAATGTTTAACGTAGAATCGCATGAAGATATTCTTTCGATCGAATAGTTCTAGAATACTTCTAAATTACAAAATTTGATAGATTTACAAAAATCTGTCTTGTGTCTTTAATAAAAGATCCCTTGCAGGAAAAGTATCCTGAATTGTTCGAACAGAACCTAAAAAAAATTCATGGTAAAGACTGAGACAGGCCTTATCTGATGAGTTCTCCTTTGAAGCAGAAAAGAAAAGACATTGAATGAATTCATGATATTTGAAGAAATTGACAGACTTTTAATCTGTCAATATTCCAATATACACTCATGTCCATAAATTAAGTATAATGCAAAATCAGGCAAAAGAAGAGTTAGAAGCAAAACAAATTTGACTTATTTGTAAAGCTTATTTATTAAACAAAAGGTAAAGAGCAAAAAAAAAGATGCTATATGTTTGATATTATTTGATATTATTAAAAATATTAGCCATTTTTTCTCCCTGGAGCAAATTACAAAGAAAAAAACCTACTTACAAAAACCAGTATTACATGGTTGGTATGATTGTTAATACATTGCATGTCTCCCAGACGATGCAATACAGTCCGTACAACGCTTAGGCATGCTGAGTATCAAATTATCGATCTGATCTTGGGGGATATTACACCACACAAAAAGCAATGCTCTCCGAATGTCCGGTAGACATGTAGGAGGAGGTTGACGGGCTGCACCTCGTCGGCCAAGTATGTCTCACACGTACTCTACTATAATCAAGTCCGGTGAAAATGCTGGCCAGTCCATACGGGTGATATCCTCCGATTGAAGGCATTCGCTTACGATGTTTGCTCACTGAGGACAGCCGTTGTCATCCATAAACACAAATTGTGCGCCCATGGCGCCCCGAAACAAACGTACATGTTGTTCCAGAATGATGTCCCGATAGATTTGGCTTGTCATAGTTCCAATTTGAACATGCAGGTCAGTTCTGGAACCCAGAATAATTCCACCCCAAACGAGCACTCCTGCACCACCGTAACGGTGTCGTTCAATGATGTTTTCTTGGTGGTAACGGGTACCTGGAGCTCTCCATATGAAAGTCCGGCGAGAATCAGACTGCAAGCTAAACCTTGACTCGTTGGAAAACATCACACAATCCCACTGTAGTGGTGTCCACAATGCATGCTCTCTACTCCAGGCTAACCGCATGGGACAGTGAGTTGCAGTAAGTGGAACGCATTTGACAGGTCTACGAGCATATAGACCAATCTGCCCTAAGCGTCTGTACACGGTCTGCCTTGAAATTGTCGTACCAGTGGCTGAAGAGAGCTGACGAGACAGGTCTGAGGCTGTGCTTCGCCTGTTTCTTTTGGCAGCTACTGCCAATTACCGGTCTTCATTCGACGTTGTAACTCTGGGGCGACCTGTGCTGTGACGTCTACTCACATTACCATCATCTTGGAATCGTTGCCAGAGCCTTGAGATGACACTCTGGGCAATTCCAAGTTCGTCTGATACTTCCAGTAGGCTACGCCCACATTCCAGACGGCCGATAATTCTACCCCGTAAAGAATCATCCAAATGCGTCCTTTTTGTCATAACTATTCGGTTATTGCACTGAAATGCTTATAAAGCGCCTGCGAACAATTTTACTTCTTTGCCTGTATTCCTTTTATATCACTCTCTTACACTCTTGTCATTGTGACGTACCATCGGTGTCATCTGGTTACTTCCTGAAATTTGCATATGATTCTTGAAGATGTGTGTAGTGATTTTACAGGTGATATATTTATTTTAGAGTTCGATTTCCGCGTGACTCCGAATTATCCTTAATTTATGGACATGAGTGTATATATTGGAATATTTCTTAAGCGTGAGAGAATTACGTAGAAAATTAATGATGCTGCTTTAATGCACTATATGATAAATACGTCAAATGATAAACTTGAAACCAAAATTCTGTACGGATGTAAACATATAATTAAGTTCAAACAGAAACTTAAAGCACACGAAGAAACAAAGAACGATTTTGCAACAATTTAAAACTTTCGATAGCTGAAAAACTAAACATGATTTTGTGACTCTTGCTGAAACAAAATCAGTAGAGTGATAAATCTAATTAAAAAATGCAAATGTAAATATAAATAAAGTGAAGTTTGATAATAATAATAGTTCTAAAATTCTTAAAATTTGTTTTAATATGGCTAACGAAACCACATTTGTGAATTTCCCCTTGATCTGTTTAGATCCTTGTGCTAGGGTTTTAATGCTATAAAGATCGCATTGCTGGAGGAATACAACTTATTTCCTCAAACTGACATTAGTAACATTATTACTAGCATAAAAAAACGTTGTGATATGTGTGCACATGTCAAAGGAGATCAAATTTCATATAAATTTCAGGCCCACCAGCGGCTGAGCGGTAAAGTCGCTTAACCCTGGTAGTTTGGTCTGATGTTCGAATTCCGCGAACGGGCTGGCTGCATGGGTGTTTTCGTGGTTTTACTCATGTGTAACGTGTATACGAGCCAGTTTCCCTTAGGAAGTCCTCCACGAAGGCATCCCTTCCCTTAAGCACATAGCCCTTGGAGGCTTTGCCATAATATTACATATAAATGACACATATAAATTTCATCAATGTAAGATTTTTTTTTCGGAGTTGTACTTTTATTTTCCTGAACTGTCCTTGTAATATATTATTGCAATTTTTTATTAGTCCAAAGGAGCTTTGTTTCTGAGGGACTATAGGTTTCGTTTTGCGATTTTGCGTCGAATCGTTCTGAATGTTAGTTTAACTTTCCAAACTGTTTATACCAAATACTACCTCTCTGTATTATATTTGAAGAAATTAAATGATGAAGAATCTGCATAAATGTGTGTATGTTTCTCGCATTGTGATAAAACAACGGTACCTAGAGCCATCGAATTTTAAATGACGTAATCCTACTGGGAATACGGACATCTGGAAGCTCAAATTTAAAATTTGGAATTTGTTTTATTATCGATTTCATATTTTGTAAAACGTTAACGAATTTTTGATTAACAAACTCAAGGATTATATGCTCCATTTAAAACTGTTTTATGATATTGCTCTTGAACTGAATTGTATGGTTCAAGTGCGAAAAACGTGATATTTAATAAATAAAGGTATCACACAAAATGTTAAAAATACGCCCCTTTAGATTTAATTTAAAATCTCAAACCTTTCAGATTTTCTTTTTTGTTTTTATTTCATGCTCTTAATTTTTTTTTCTTTGTATTTATGCGTTATGATGTTCTGTACTTAAATTAGAAGTCGCAAACCGATTTGGAGGTCTCAAGAAACTTTGGAAAGTCCCAGAATTGCTGAAAAAACTGCACAACAAGGGACTAATAATAAAATACATATTTCTGGGGGAGAATTTGGAGTCGCAATATGTCTCGAGCACCTATATTTTTAAACTACTGGCAGACACTTGCCTATTCAACGTTGACTACTCCCAAGACCAGAAATGGTGGCCGTTTTGTTAATGGAGATATCTAATGGCAGCCACCGTTACCTCCTATAAAAGGATACATGCAATGCCTTCTCCGAGATTCGAAGCGGGCCCTTCGGTACCCCACTAGGCTCCCCTAACCACTATACCCTCAGGGCGACATCAAATACCTAAAATGAGGTAGCTATCCTAAAATCTTTGGGAACTACTATAGTATTCCATAGAAATTCACAAAATTAAAATTTACAGTTTTTGAGAAATCCGTGATTTCATGCACACAATGATCAGTTTGAACATGAGTGTAAATTCCATCCATTATTTTGGTAATTAATCTCGTACGTTTAGCACTAGGGTAAGATCCAACATCGATGGCATTCTATTTTATTCTTTATACCTCAGTATGTTTCCATAATATGAATCTGTTTTACATTCGAGAAGAAAATTAGCTTTTAATATTTTTAAGCTAATACTAATTTTATGCAGTTGTGCATAGCAAAATTCTCTCTCCTCAGTTTTGGTGCGTTGTATTTTGTTAAGGGTTAAGTTTCCAATATTCCACATTTGAAAGAATGCATATGAATACTGGAAGAATATTGACTAACATATACTTATTGACTTAAAATGGAAATTTATAGGTTAATGGTTTAAAACTAATTATTTGTTTAAAAATGCATGAGCATAAATTTATAAAGAATAATGATATTTTCTTATAAAATAGGATACTTCATGTTCGGATTTCTAACCTGTAGTGTTTATCTACCAGTAGAAGTTTAAATGCCAAACATTAATGGAGAGACATTCATAATTTAAATTAATCATGAATTACTTCTTTTCCTTGAGGCGCTTGATGTAGTAGTAGTAGTAGTAGCACGCGCAACTAAGAAATGGAATCCTCAAGTGTTCAAATCTTCACACAAGGGCATAGTTTCATTTTCATGTTTCTTCTCGAAACATTTTTTAAAAACTCTGCAATCTAGTTAAATGAAGAAGAAAATGCATATATTCGATATATTCTAAGGAATAAACCTGTCTAAACGTCATCTGCAATGTTCTGTTAAATATACTATAATAACGATGATTCTCTGAATCTATCAAATGTTTAAATCTAATGTAGCTTACATAAGTGGCATAACAGATTAATGCAAAGATCTGAAACACTCGGATATTACAAGGGAAGTTGTGCTGCGTTGCAGATGAAAAAAAAAAAAAAACCATGGCGTAAACTACACACCTGTGTCAAGGTGTATAATTACACCATGGCTTGAGCGAATATCACTTTAGAAGTGAATATCGCTTATCTTCAGAGCAAAAATTATTTTATTGTCTGAAATTTATTAGTTTGAATAAGCTTGGGTAAAAATAAAATGCAGTAAAAACCTTTGCTTTGGCAATTTCTTTAGTGTCATCGTCCATCCATTCTGTGTTTTCTAGGATACGTACGAAATTTTCTCGAATATAATCGACATACTCTTGTACCTAAAAGGATGAGAAAGAAGTTTATCATAAATTCATCAATCTTGATTTCATATCTCTTGCTTGTACTGTTGATAGATATAGTTAAGATGTTACATAATTCTTAAATTTATAAAAGAAGGCAAAACACACGCACACACACACACACAAAAAAAAAAAAAAAAAAAAAAAAAAAATCTGAAAGGTTTCAGATTTTATACTACTCCCGAAAGGGCGTTTTTTAACATTTTTATGTTACCTTTATTTATTAAATATCACATTATGCACCCTTAAACAATAAACTTCAATCCAACAGCAACATCGCAAAATATTTAAAAGAGCATGTTTTTAGATTTTCAGATACATAGTCTCGCGCGCTGGAGATAAAAATGTTTTTCCCTGTACAGTGTCGCCACTGTTCCCTTTGAAATCGTTGAGTTTGTTAATCAAAAATTCGTTGGAGGTTTACAAAATATGAAATAGATAATAAAACAAATTCCAAACTCCAAATTTGGGCTTCCAGATGTCCATACTCGGTAGGAAAAGTACGTTATTTAAAATTTGATGGATCTAGGCACCGTTGTTTTATCACAATGCGAGAAACATACATACATTTATGCAGATTCTTCATTATTTAATTTCTTTAAATATAATATAGTGAGATAATATTTGGTGGCAACAATTTTAAAAGGGAACCGACATTTATAGTGAATCGACGCAAAATACCAGAATGAAATTAATAGCCCTTCTAAGCTAACGCTGCTTTGGACTAAAAATTAGTTAAAAATTGATTTTTTTATTTCCATTTTATTAAACATAAACCATTATTTTATATGAATTAATTTGGAAGTTTTAGTGATAAGAACACCAAGAACAGAATCGAAATTTCTTTCATTTGAATCTGTCATAGATTTAAAAGTTTTATTACTTACAGTGTCGTAGTTTTCCTCTTGGACGTAGTTACGAACATAATAAGAACTGAGGGCGATTCCTAAGTTATCACGGATGAAGGAAAGACACACTTCCCAACGCTTCGTTTCTAGAGAATGTCTTGGGCTGTATTTCAAAGACCTCCATCTTTTCGACATAAAAGACATGGATTGGTCAATAACTCTCCATATCATATAGTTTGCCAGTACCCTAAAAAAAACAGAAACAACTGCTAAATTTTCAAACACTTTTTACTGATATTTTACTATTTTATTCATATTTCTTCCTTCACTGGCCGAAAAGTTAAATTTTTGTGAATTTCGCCACTTGTAACAAACATGCAAACAGGTACCAATAGATACTTATGAACACCGGTATTTTCCTCTTTAGAGTGATAGCCATATACAGCTTCGTCCCAACATAATAATGTATCCGATTCACGTATCCATTTCCTTACTTTGGGATTATTTCTACTAATTTCATGGCTTATTTTAAAACACTTAGTATACATGTCTAAAAAGATAAAACAGTTTAGATTTTTGAAGGAAAAAGGTTTACATTTACAGCAAAATTGTGGAAGTACAAATAATATCTACATAAATTTTAAGGAACGATTGCAGGCTATGTTTTAGATTTATCTATAATATGAAATCATGACAACTTACTATTCTTTCTTCAACGATTCTACCTGCGCACATTCATGAAGATATTAGTAAGCAAAATAATATAAATGTGTAAGTTGCTTTTTTAATGAGAGTGTTCAGGATAATCTATTGAATTGATATCGAATACTTTGTCCAATTTATGTTCTGAAATTTTTTCGCATGCGGCGCACTCCAGGAACCACAAGCGTCGATTTTAAATTTGAAATCCTCTCAGAACCCTTATTCAAACTTCAAAATAGCTGAAATACAATTATTGCAAAAAACGAAGGATTTTATGTGTTACCTTCTGTACAATATTTTACTTGGAGCTCAGTTATGATGAAAGTTTTCCGATTAAATGTCATTCCCCTTCTGCAACTTCAACCTTAAATTTCAATGAACCGATAAATATCATCCCCCTATTGAAACTGCAACCTTAAATTTCTGCGTGTTTTCTTAAGCACATATATGATGAGCATTCTTCTTTCGGTGTCTATTCTTCTGTGTATGTTGCGTCCTCTTTGACAAAATTAAAAATTTATCAAAAGAAACGTCTTGGAGTAAATCTTTAAAACATTTATTGAATTAAAGGAAGTGTTAGATTACTATTTTGAGAAGAAAGTGCTTTTAAAGAACTGGGACATATGTCAGCTGCTCTCACACCTGAGTGAGTTCTATTTTAAAATCAAATAGTCGAAAATACCTCATATAGCCTAATTTTAAATGCTTTGTTTGTTTAGTCATTACGTCTAACACACGAGACCTATATGTTTAGTTTCAAAGCAAAACTAGGCAATTCTCGTCAGTTGTTCATTTGGATTCTGGAAAAGCACTCAAGGGCTACGCGCCAAAGGGAAAGGATATCTTTGTGGAAGGAACTTGCTCGTATTTACGTTACACGCGAAGAAAATTACAAAAGCACTTGTAAAATCAGCTCTTTCATGAGATTTGAACCCATGTGGAACTACACTCATGTCCATAAATTAAGGATAATTCGGAGTCACGCGGAAATCGAACTCTAAAATAAATATAGCACCTGTAAAATCACTACACACATCTTCAAGAATCATACGCAAATTTCAGGAAGTAACCGGATGACACCGATGGTACGTCACAATGACGAGAGTGTAAGAGAGTGATATATAAGGAATACAGGCAAAGAAGTAAATGTTTCGCACAGGCGCTTTATAAGCAATTCAGTGCAATAACCGAATAGTTATGACACAAAGGACACATTTGGATGATTTTTTACGTGGTAGAGTTATCGGCCGTCTGGAATCTGGGCGTACCCAACTGGAAGTATCAGATGAACTTGGAATTGCCCACAGTGTCATCTCTAAGCTTTGGCAATGATTCTAAGATAATGGTAATGTGAGTAGACGTTACAGCGCAGGTCGCCCCAGAGTTACAACGCCGAATGAAGACCGGTATTTGGCAGTTACTTCCAAAAGAAACAGGCGGAGCACAGCCTCAGGCCTGTCACGTCAGCTCTCTTCAGCCACTCGTGCGACAATTTCAAGGCAGGACGTGTACAGACGCTTAGGGCAGATTGGTCTATATGCTCGTAGACCTGTCAGATGCGTTCCACTTCCTGCAACTCACTGTCGCCTGCGGTTAGCCTGGAGTAGAGAGCATGCATTGTGGACACCGCAACAGTGGGCTTTCCGACGATTCCAGGTTTAGCTTGCAGTCTGATTCTCACCGGACTTTCATATGGAGAGTTCCAGGTACCCGTTACCACCAAGAAAACATCATTGAACGACACCGTTACGGTGGTGCCGGAGTGCTCGTTTGGGATGGAATTATTCTGGGTTCCAGAACTGACCTGCATGTTCAAATTGGGACCATGACAAGCCAAATCTATCGGAACGTCATTCTGGAACAACATGTTCGTTTGTTTCGGGGCGCCATGGGCGCACAATTTGTGTTTATAGATGACAACACCGGTCCTCACCGTGCAAACATCGTAAGCGAATGCCTTCAATCGGAGGATATCACCCGTATGGACTGACCAGCATTCTCACCGGACTTGAATCCAGTAGAGCACGTGTGGGACATGCTTGGCCGACGAGTTGCAGCCCGTCAACCTCCTCCTACATGTCTACCGGAACTTCGGAGAGCATTGCTTTTTGAGTGGTGTAATATCCCCCAAGATTAGATCGATAATTGATCCTCAGCATGCCTAGCGTTGTACGGACTGTATTGCATCGTCTGGGAGACATGCAAGTATTAACAATCATACCAACCCATGTAATACTGGTTTTTGTAAGTAGGTTTTTTTCTTTGTAATTTGCTCCAGGGAGAAAAAATGGCTAATATTTTTAATAATATCAAATAATATCAAACATATAGCATCTTTTTTTTGCTCTTTACCTTTTGTTTAATAAATAAGCTTTACAAATAAGTCAAATTTGTTTTGCTTCTAACGCTTCCTTTGCCTGATTTTGCATTATCCTTAATTTATGGACATGAGTGTATTAGCGTCTAGGGAGTTTATCGACCGTTTGGTCCAAGCAGTGCGTCGGCCGTCCACTAATGGATGACCAATTAAGATTAGCGGAATTACAATTTTTCATTGATTTGGACAAGCTTCATTTTGGTACTGGTTCTCAATTTTTTTTTATTCCGAGATTATAAGAAAAGGAATTGAGATCAATAATCTCATCTCCCTGTTTGAAAACAATTACTGAAAGGGATCCAAAAAGGGAAATAAAGCCCTAAATCGTAAAAAAAAAAAAAAAAAAGACATTCTAGAGTTGATGATCATCACTCCTCTATTATGCAAATTTACTTTCAATGCGAAGAAATTGCTCCATTAAAATGCTCAGCATTCTGTCTGCAAACTTAGTCCTATTGAACATGATTGCGATGTTTAGAATGCTACGAAGCAGGTCAGTTCTAGTCCTGGAGCTTCTTGTTGAAACAACGTTTTTCGTTCTTGTTGCTATGTTGAAAGACTGGAGTTTCGTGTTCCTAAGCTGAAAGACTGAAATTCTTGTTACTATGATCGAGTTGATGCTGGAGCTTCTTGTTGCTACGTTGAAGCATCTATGTTATTATCCTGGAGCTTCTAAAAGGAGTCATCTGTGACAGAAGGCTTTCCTTAGAAGAATAGGTGGAAACCATGCAGAGTTTAATTCAGTGTTGTCAATTCGATGGAGAAACACTGTGGTGTCCGCAAATCAGTTCATAGTCAACTTACTATATTTTATGATAATTATTTCTGTTCAGCTGGCATGATTGTCATTTTTATTAATCGTCTGCATTGTCTTCGACGAATATTAGATGTGGATCTCTATGGCAGGTTATCAAGCATTATGCCTCTTTAATGTTGCAAAAAAATATTATTTCTTCTGTCACAAGTTTTTAACGAATTTTCTAAGTTTAGCCTCTTCTGAGAGATTCGGACAGTATGATACGCATTATATTTTAGTGTAAATAAGGCTTAGTATCTGAGTGTATCGTTACTAATTTTTCTCTACATGTAAACAATTTTAGTGAAATTATGTTTGAAATTGTAGTTTCTTTTGTATAATGTAACATGAAATGCTTCAAAAAAGACGAAGTTCTACCCAAAACATAAGAATACAGGGGCAAGTCTATTTAACGTAGAGTAAACGCTTATTTCGCTAAAAATTGGCGAGATATCTCCAAGCTGGTAATAGTTTTGGCGACTAATTTTTATCGTCGAATTCGGTGAAAATTCACCATAAATCGCCAAGTTTGACGACCATTTGGCAGCATTCGGATTCAATCCCTGTATTAACTAAAAACAGTATTCTAGCTGAATAACTGTAATTGATCCCTATATGCAGCTGTAACAATATCCCACCCTCATATGTCTTTCCGTAATTTTGAGAAGTACTAAAGGTTTCTAAGAGGCCGGAGGAAAACTATATAAAACTGAAGGGAGCGTCAATTCTTAGTTATTAGTTCAGATCTGACTTCGACGCATTAAGATCTCCGTGAAAGCTTCGCCTTTCAGATGCGCCTTACATTGCGTTGTGTTTAACGTTCTTAGTAGTCTTAAGTGTAACTACTGATTGTGCTGTAGGACACTGAGATCTGTACGAGTGCTTTTGTGGAAAGTTCTTGTTGAAAGTAAAGTGTTTCTTTTCGTAAATATAAATTTTATCATGTTATCATCTTTTCTGTGTTCATCAGTGTATCATGAACCTGTTGGCACGTAAATGTATTCGTTAAAACAATCTTTTTTTTTTAATTTAAAAAAATGATTAATCAGAAATATTGCAACAGCAGTTTAGCTATATAAGATATTGCTTATATTTATAACTAAGTAGTTCACGTTTATAAGGAAAAGGAATATATTTTTCAGAAAATCAAACTCATTTTAAAACTCTGCAGTATAACATAGCATCGTCTAATATCGGTAAAGAAAGACAGCATATAGTATTTGATTATTAGATAATTTTTATGAAACAATTTGTTAACGTAATCATTTTATGGTTTCCAACAATTTTGTGTGTCTTTCAGTGCGCCTTTCTTATGGAAGGGTCCTGAAAATAAGTTTCTCACAACTTTTCCAAACGTCTTTTTGTTAGTGAT